TTGGTGGAGATTTTAAAGCCACAGATAGGAAAGAACTCAAACACAATGAAGGAAACGCAACAGGGAGGGGAGAGAGAAATAGCTGGCGTGATGCCTCTGCTGTGGCCCCCAGCTCTTAGAAGGGGAAGAAATACTTAGACCTAATGGCCAAAGCTGTTCCTCAGGCTCTCTGACTGCTTCTGGGGTCACCAATAACTTGTCTGTGAGAATGGAGAGAACTGTAAAGTCATTATCCGTCCTACGTTCATTCACACACAAACACTGGCTTGCCATACGCGGGGCAAGGCATCACAGATCAGCAATGAAGTGGGATGGGAAGGTGCCCCACCTTCCTGCATGAACCTGTGGCACTCTCTGACAGGGAGGCCTTTGTGGTGAACTCCAAATCCTGACCTATTTTTACAGGTTCAAAGGGAAGGAATTAAAGTAAGTGCCGTGATCGCTTCCTGATTTGGGCTGCGGTACCGTGGGGCAGCTGGCCACCAATGTTTGTATGGTGGTGGGGACTAAGAAGTATCTCTACAGAGACATTGCTTCTGTGAGAGCTTTGGCTTGGCTTGGTGTTGCTCTTATTCTGCAGACTCACTTTTCTCTCTCTTTTTTTTTTTTTTTTTTTTTTTTTTTTTTAGGAGAGAAAGATTTTCCCCCTTCTTTTCCAGCTGTTTCAGCTTTGAACTCCTTTTTGCTTTTCATACTTCTGGCCCGAGCTCTTTTCCTCTCCAGCTTTGCTTGTTCTCATCTGTGAAAGCTTTTCCAGGAGGGACACTGGCTTATTCCTTAGTCCTACCACTCACCCTCCCGAGCTGCACAAATCCAGACTTCTTATTTTTTCCTCTGTGGAGGAGAATTCACCCCTTTCCCTTGGAAAAATCCCCTGGCTCAGCACTGATTTCAGTCTCCCATGTGAAGTGCTTTGTTTTTAAAGCCTCCCTTGTTTGGTTCCCGCTCACCTTGCCTGACCTCTTCCTCCTCCCAGCCCAGGGCTCCCTGGGCATTCCCACAGAGACCCCCCCTCTGTCCTCTCACTGAAACTCATCCTGGCATGGGGAAAGCCACCCTTGTAGCCCAGCCTGCCTGCCACGCCATTTCCTTTGTCTGGCTCCCTCTTCTCTCCATGGAGTACCCAGCACAGGGCAGCAGGACAGCAAACTGAAATGCCCAAGAGATCAATGATGAATGAAGTGGGTATCTATCTTCTCTGTTTTGTTTCTAGCTCCTTTTCCCTGGATTTGTGCTGCAAATACTGTTTTTTCTTGGCAGGGGGGTGGCAGTCTCTCCCTACCCCACTGTGGTACCCCAGTGGCAATGGCTGATGGCAGTTCTTGTGTCCTGGCCCTGGGCAGCCATCACCCACCCAGAGCCCAGCTGGGGCCAGGGCAGCACAGCACAGCCCCCAGATAACCAAAATCAGATGGCAGCACTCCATTTCTGCAGTGTTTGTTAGCATGGGACCCACCACCATTGCTCCCAAAGATGGTGCCTCCCTCAGTGGCTGCAGCAAACCACCAGAGAGCTGACTCCAAGAAATGGTGCTTTCAGCTGAAAATGCCTACCAGCCTGTGAGGAATGTCAAGGGGCAAGGGTGACGGGCTGGCCTACAGGCGACTGCCATGATGGCCATGCCAGCACATCCCTGCTGCCCCCGCGGCCATAGCTCCCTCACTGGTGATGTGAGGAAGACATGTGCATGCAGGGGTTGATTTTATTTATTGAATTTTATATATTTTACATGAAGTCATTCTGTACTGAAGACATCCTGTCTGGGCAGGCTTGCAAGGGAGAAGAGTGGAAACTACCTAAGTTGAGGGAGGGCATGGAGGTGAGGACAGAAGTGTGGTACACTGCATCACCAGGCAGAGGGGACAGATCCTGTTAGCGAGGCTGTCTGACACAGGATGATGGAGGAGACCAGCACAGGGAGTTTAAATGTTCTGTTTGATTCATGGAGAGAGGGAGGCGTCTGCAGAGAGGAGTTCAGGACTTGGAAGATAGTGTGGTTACTTGCAGCAGTGAAGCGGATCCCCTTAGCTGGTCTGGTGCTGGGGCTCAGTCCTGCGGGAGAGGGCTGGCATGTGCAAGAGGACATGCCCCCTCCCTGAGAGGGCACGGAGAGGGATTTCTCTTCCTACAGAAGGCAGCCAGCTGCCCAGGCAGCAGGAGGATGGCATGACGAGACATCCAGGTCTGAGCGTCCTGTTGTCTGTCCGAGCCGTTTGAAGTCTGCCCCTTGGCAGGCTGGCAGGATGCGCCGTGGCACGCGATGGGTTTGGCAGCATGCCGGTACAGGGAGACATCTCATGCACTGACTCAAGATCAAGATGCTGTGAGAAGCCCAGAATAAATTCAAGAAAGTTTTAAGTGTTTCATGAGCACTGAGGGTCCCTGAGAACAACCGTTGGTCTACTAGTGAGAGCTGTTTTCCCCCTTAGCCTGGGAGTGGGAGCAGGAGGTTGGGAGCTGACAGGTCAGACATCTCTCTGGCACCCTTCTGCAAATCATTTTCCCCTCAACCCATCAACCAGCAAGATGTAAAATGGGGATAATGATGATAATTGTGGTGATAAACTGCACAATAGGAGTTTTAATTGCTCAAGGTCCTTCACTAGGGCTCTTGGTGTTTCTTCTTGCTTGCGAAGTGATAACATCCAAGACTTCTAATGATGATAATTGTGGTGATAAACTGCACAGGAGTTTTAATTGCTCAAGGCCCTTCAATAGGGCTCTTGGTGCTTGTGAAGTGATAACATCCAACACTTTTGAGGAAAAGAAGTCACCCTACCAACAGACAGAACCTGAATTGCTTTTGGCAGCAATTGGATCACAACTGGAGGCTTGATTTCTCTGAAAAGTGACATTGTCAAAAAAGGGGTGAGGCGGTGAGTTTGCACAGGGCTGTGGGAGGAGGTGGGATTTCTGTGCCCTGTGAGGCTGTAGAGCCCAGGGTTGAGGAGGGATGTGGGTTAAGGGAGTCCTTTGCCCCATTTCCTCAGTGTTTCTCCAAACCAAAACTACTCTCCTTGTCTTCAGTTTGATTTTTTTTTTGTGAAAAGCTGCAGTTTCCTGTTTTTCATTTGTTTGTTTATTTTTCACCCAGACCCATAGAGTTATATTTGGTGTGGAGCAAGAGGGGGCAGTGAAGCCTTAGCAGAGTTAAGTTTGCCTTCCTAGAAGAAGTGCACAGCCCACCAGCATACACAGCCCCGAAAAGAGTTCTGAATTTCTGGGATTAAAAATGTGGAGTAAGTGCAAGCGACTGCTCTTATGAGCAGAGATATACATGTACTGAAACTTGGACTAGACAGGTGATGGCAAGGGGGGACAAGACTCAGGGTTTGAGGGCAGACTGGTCCCATTTCTGTTCTTGCCGCTACTGGGTGATTTCTGTTCCTTCTCTCTAAACCCCTTTGTTGGTCAAGGGGAGCCTTTTTTGGGAGCTGACTCAAAAGTATATGAACTTAGATGCCCGGACAGCATCTGTTTCTGCTTGCTAGGGAGCTGGGTAGAAGGGAGATGAAGATTTCCCTCCTCCCTCCTCTCTTTCGTTTTCCAACTTACTGCCCCTCTTGTGCTTTGGTAGCTCCAGCCTGCGCCTCTGGAGAGGGAGGCAAATCCTGAAGTGACAGAGTCATGTTCAAGGGCAGGAAGGTGCCTTTTGACAGAGGATTTGATGAACAGAGGCAGAGATTTACTGGAGTGGCTCCTAGTTTCTCTCCTCCTGGCCAGCCCCTCCTCAGGCCTTTTCCGAGCTGAGCGTCGGTAGCGAAGGAAGCGCCTGACCGCATCGCAGGCTGCGGCTCGTCTCGCAGTGATTTCCTCTCAGGCAGTCCGTTATCTGTCGACTGTCAGGACAGGCTTTCCCTCTTCCTCTCCCTGTCCCCATCCCTGTCCCCCAACTCCTCTCCCCGCCTTCTCTCAGCCTCTCGCACTCACTCACACACACACACTTCACTGCCAAAAACCGTCCTCCGCCCCCCTCCTCAGCTAACTTCCTTTCAGCATTTTTTTGAGCTGGATAATCCTAGGATTTGTAAAACGGGGGAAAGGAGAGAGCGAGCGAGAGTCAGAACAGGAAGCTGGTTTCTCATTCCTCTAACTGTCCGAAGGCAGGAGGAGGGGAAGGGGGGGAGCCAAAGAGGAGCCTTGTGTAGACTCTTCCCCAGTCCCTTTTCATTAGTCTGTTTGAACTTTCAGTCTCCTCCGAAAGCCGAGAGAAGGAAGACCAGACTGGGACGCTTTCTGCTGGAAGTGGCGACAGCACAGCTGACAAAACCCAGAAGGTGGATGTGGAGGGTCCCGGGACTGTGCTGAGGGAAAGACGTGTCCCCCCCACCATTGCCTGCCCCCAACTTGCCAGCTCCGATGCAGACACCCGTCTGCCACCCACTTCCCTCTGATGAGAACCCTTCCGGGCTCGGGCTATGATCGCTGCTGCTGCCGGCTGGGGAGCCTCCTCTTGCCCTGACCTTCCTCTGCCACAGGAGCAGACCAACATCTGGTGGGGATTAATGTTTACTTCTCCAGCTGGACGCCGTATGGGACCCCCGATGTTACTCCTTGGGAGTGGGACACGGGCGGTGGTCTGAGAAGAGCAAGATTTTTGTCGCCCAGCGTGAGGCCGGGGGGAGGGGGGCAAGGCAGGAGGGGGGCAAACCTCTTTTGGGACTAACCTCATGAAGAACAAGGGAGCCAAGCAGAAACTCAAGAGGAAGGGAGCTGCGAGCGCGTTCGGCTGTGACCTGACGGAGCATCTGGAGAGCTCTGGGCAGGATGGTAAATGCCTCTTTATTCTCACTCTGGTAGTGAAGGAGCAGAGTGCGTGTCCCCCCCTTTTTTTACCGGTAGGACTGCAAACCAGACCTTTCCCAAGGATGAGGGCTAGACAACCTGGAGCTGATTTATCCCCGGGAAGCGGAGTGACTGCCCAGTTGCTCACAATGAATGAACAATCGGAAGATTGCTTTGGTGATGTGTCTGCATGACCCTTGCATGAGTAGTGCTGCTTGTGGGGAAAGCACTAGGCTAGGGCTCTTGGACGTGTCCAGCTGTATGTTGTGATTCCCTCTCTCATCCATTTGGCCTGGAAGGGGGTAGCATTCTTTTAGGGAGCTAGATTTGGAAATCAGAACTGCGTTTAGGATTGCCTCCTCCCAGACTTGGAAATTCTCAAGTCCATCAGACTAGAGTGCTGCAGGGCTGTATGGAGGAACTGGGAATGTCCCATCTACTCCTCTTGGACTCCACTGCAGTTCCTATATTGTCCTTTCACTGCTGGATGGAGACAGGATAGAGACTGAGGGGTGGGGTGGAGTTGTAGGTGTAATTTGTATTGTACTTACAATAGGTGTAAGTTGTAGGGGGCAGCTGAGCTAATATTTTCACTACCCTGCCTGTTATCTTTCTCTCCTTTCCTCCTCCTCCTGACCTCCATGCCCCCAGATATCAGATGAGAACACGGTTGCTCTGACAAGAGGTAACTGCAATAAGATCAGAGGGTCCTGAGCTTGAAATGGTCAGTCCTGGATGAGAGAAGGAACAGAATTTTTTTTCTTAAAGAGGCTTGGATGGTGAAAGAGGCAGTTGAGAGTTTGGCATACAGAAAGACCTGCAGTTTAGCAAGCGGAAAAACAACTACATGCCTGTTACCATCCCTGATGTGAGCATTATGTTCCAGGTTTAGCATTATGTTCCAGTTTGAATTAACCAACTTTTACCAATGTCAGGCTACTCTGAGCAAAAAAAGCTTCTAGCAGCAATGTCAGCTTTGTACAAGGAGGGCTGTACAATCAGGTCTTTCATTTGCTGATGAGCATGGCTGATGAAGTACAGTGTGGAACTGCACTGGCAGAGGGATGGACTACATAACAGTAGTCCTTTCCATTGCACAATGAAGAGGGCAGTACATATATCACTAAGATAAAATGTTATATATATGTGTGTTTATTTAGATATGGGGGAAAACCAATCATCCAATTTCATTGTGAGTCATCTGTAACAATTACTGTATCTTTAAACTTATATAGCCCTTAATGACAATTGATGAACTGAAATAGCAAAAATAACACACTTAGTGAACTGATACCACTCTGCCAGCATGAGGTATAGGTAGATAAATACCATCCAGTGCTAACATGAGCTGCTGTGGTGGAGGAACAATTTACAGCTGTTTACAGGAACACTGAAAAACAACATAGGGAAGGCAGGCACAGGCATTATATTCAGTTAAAGCAGCAACGGGGATTTTAAAGGGAGAAACATAGTTGCTGCAGTTGAAATTAGGCTAGAACAGCAAAATTTATTCCCTGAAATCCCATAGTTTTTTAAAATAGGTTTTTTTGAGGACAAGAAAGAAGGACATTGTCTCAAGTCTCATTTGTGGGATAGTTCACAGTTCCAACCTACTTATCTCTCCATGCTGCTGAGGAGCAGTGGGGGAGAATATGAAGTTCCTTTCCCTTTATGCAGGACTGCTATTTGCTGAATAGCACATCCCGTCGCCCAGTGCTGTGGGATCCAGAAATGAAAGACTCAATTGTTATAGGTCTATTGGGAAGGGTGTAAGTTAGATCCGTACAATTTAATTCACTGGGACAAGGAGAGAAGAAGTGAGAGAATGAGATGCTAATTTTTTTGCTGGTAGGACTCTTAGGATCATTAGCAAAGTGACCAAGTATGCTGAAGTGAAGTCTTGGGAGGAAAGAAAGGTTCAGATATCAGCAGGACATCACAAATTTGAAACCTGTAACTATTAAACAAAATTAGAAGAGCACTTAGGGTATGGGAGATGGTTGATTTGGGGATAGTTGAATTGTCCTGCTAAGAATTATTTGAAGTGACAAGCCAGTGCTCCTGCAAGCAGAGACTTTGGTAGAGATGTAAAGCAATAACTTTCTCTCTGCTTTAGATAGTACTGGTGGGATGCAGGCTCTGGTTGTTCCCTGCTTGGAAACATTGAAGATGTAAGACTGCTCATGGTATCTGGGAGTGATGAGGAGGGGAAGAGCACATTGGCTACTGTCCAGAAAGCATTTTGTTGTGGACCTTTGTGAAAGCAGGTTTTAAAATGCACTTAGAAGGGTTAACTGTAAAAGAAGAGGCTGTAAGACAGGCAGGACACCAGTCAGATTGGTTGTGCTTTCAGGCTTAGGTCTGCTCTACACCATCCTGCAGTGCTGCTTTGGGTAGCTGGTCCTGTGCACTTGCAGAGGCGAAGAGAAGTGAAGACCTGGTTTTCTGGTGCTGGGGATGGCAAAAGGAGCACAGCTGGTGGCCAAGGCTAGTGTAGACAATTCAATTAGCTTTCTTCCCTCTGGATTAGTATGTGGCCATTGCAGTTAGGGGCTGCTGCACTTGTGTGGTGCTTTGTTGAGAAGATGCGCAGCTTGAGTCCCTGCATGCTTGTGGTTGTTGAAGAGCAGCTTGTGCTTTCTGCAAAGACCTTAGTCCCTGTGTCTTTGCCAAATTCCAGTGGAGAGAATTATATTCTGCTTAAGGTATGAGCACTTCCTCTCCTGTCATTTAACTGTTTAATAACTTGCTATGGTCCACTTCAGAGATGGCTGCGTTTCAGTGAAGGATGAAAAGATCCTGCTGTCACCCTTAGCAGGCAGATGTACCTAAGACTCTCTTATCAAGAGCTTTATGATAATACAGTAAA